TAATTATATACACTGCTCTTCCATTCAACCACAGTTGGAGACAAGAAGTCCATCCACATATTAAGTAGCTTGTGTTAAGTTTACCAAACGTAAAAATTATAATACCAGTTAATTTCCATTCGATTTGTTGTCCATGATCATAAGCTTTATTCATTTGAGAAATATAGGTACATAATGATGTAGCTTTTAATAGGATGTTTGTAGCGATATAAGCATTATTAATTAGCCAAATACTAGTGATTTCGATTTGTTAAAAAGTAAAATTGCATCAATGATTTAGTTCGGTTTAAAATTGATTTTTGAAGCACCATGCACCAATTGTTAAAGATTTATAACTTTGCCAGAGGATGAGCACTTAATGTAAAATAACCAAGAAGGTTAATTTGGCTCTTTAGATGTAGGTAATTATACTAATTACCACTGCAGGTCTGCAGGCAGTGGTTAGTTATGACTTACGGATATGTTTATTGTATAATATTAAATAAAATCTCACCTAAGTACCTATACTTACTTACTTGGCCAATGGCCGTATTATAGCAGTTACTAGTAGGACTTATTGATCAGGATTTATTGTCTCACACAAATCGGTATTCACGGAGAACTTATTGATATCATAATATTAAAATGCTACAAAAATAAAACAGGCCTAACAGTACCTAATATATATAAACCTAGTATACCTTACAGTACCTACTACATAATTACCTAACAACCTACTACTTTATAATTATTGCATATTATCGATATACACATGTGTGATGATGTGTAGATATACAATGTACAAAATTACAATATTATACATATGTACCCGATGACACATATTATATGATATTTTTATATGAGTATTGAGTATATTAAGTATATCAATATTATTAAGTTTTAGATTCTGAGCGRAGCGATKAATGTATTGATTTTACCATGATRTGTGTTTTTATTTTATTTTTATTTTTGTGTCTGTTATCACGTTTTGGGGCAGTAAAAGTGCTTCGATTTTTGATTTCAGTACCTCGTTCGATCAGAAAGTGAATCTAGTTGGTACTTTGGGGGGTCAAAAGTAAAAAATTCTTTATACTTTTCTAAATAATCGAGAAAACAAACTAAAAATTAAGGGAAAAATGGGAAATTTTACGCACACTCATTTTTCGACAAAATCGATTTTGGTTTTTGATGTAACTTTAAAACAAATGACCATAGATACATGAAATTTTCACCAAATGTTTATATAAGTATATTCCTACCACCATGCAATTTTTAAAAACTTTCGACTTAAGTTAAACTATTTATAGGAAAATGCAATTTTCAATCATTATTAGTTTTTTTTTTTTAAATTAATATCGAAAAAAAATTATTTGTTGCATAGAAAAGCTTGAAAATTTAATACAAGGCTCTTATCATATTTTTGCAATAGCAGTTGAAAAATAAAATAAATTCATAGTCACAATTTTTTTTTTATAAGCATTCAAAGTTTGAATTTTTACAAAATACGTAAAAATCACAAAAATTCGCAAATTATTTTATGCTAGAAATTTRTAAAAAAAATTCCTTTTATATCTAAGATTTGAAAATTTTTAATAATCTATAATGACGTATCCTAGACAGATAAACCGTCTCCACTTAGAATCGTTTTTTGTATACAATGATATAATATCATTGGATTCAAATTTAATTCCATCCATTACAGTAACCCACTTGTAACCTACTGTACAGCAGGGTGACATCCACTACTTACCCGATTTTGTATTTTTTAATTTTCAATGTTCTGATCAATGAATATTAAGATATAACAGTTTATTAAATTACTTTACAAAAGGTTATAAATGGTATTTCTTTGGACGAACAAATTGTGTCATATTATATTAATATTGACATTCTGATCACGTACATATATATAGGCACTTTACCGTGCTATATTATTTATCGTGCCTTCGTAAAATAAACACAGGGTAACGATGAAAGTATAATATACTATTCTATTAAATACGCGTGGTCATTACATAAAAATCACATACAGTTATATACGGCCCAGTGGTTTGGAACATAATATTGTTTATCGAAAATATGTTTGATCTATTGTAGTTATTTAATGTAAAAATATATTTTTTCTTTTTTAAAGACCGTTTGTTGGGTACAATATTATGTTTCTTTATAAATCAAGGACGGTAACCAGACAAGGTGTGTTCAACATTTGGGAGGGAATAATAAATGAACCAAGACAAATATATAGTTATCAATAACGTATTAGTAATAATATACTAATATGCAACTGAAATGTAGAAACATAAGAGTTTAAAATGTACGAAATTTCATTCTTATAATGTAAATTGAATTGTGTAATGGGAAAATGTACATTTTTTGCCACATTTTGCATCTTTAAATCACAATAGTGTAACCACTATACCTAATATCTATTGAAAATCACCAACTTTTCCTATTTAAAAATAAATATAAAAATATTTCAAAAATGTTTATTTGATACCGATTACATAAAAAAAAATGTATGTACATCTTTCAAGTTTTTTTGATTTTAGAACTTACCGTATAGGAATCATATTTTAGATAAAAGGTTTTACTCACTAATTTTCCTTCTACAGAATATAAAAAGTATGCAGTTCAGTATGCAAAATCATGTAAAATAAATTTCAGCCAGGGAATAAGTTTTTCTTATTCAATTCTGCTTAAAATAATACCATATTTTAAACTAAACACAAAAAAGTTTGTATTTTTTGTATGTGAACAAATTTTTAAAATATCTAAATTTATAAAATTAAGTTCTTTTATTTTGAAATGTATTAAAATGACAAAAAATGCTTATTGAAAGAAATGGTTTTGTATACGGTGAGGTAGGTAATTGGATTTACTGTGTGTAGTCATGCTTGTTGTTTTTGTTTTTTCAAACACCCTTTGATTGGTAGACGGCTGTAGGATGACGATAAAATGTAATGAGCTAGACTACAGATAATAAAAACAAATAAAAAACGAAATGTCCCTATATGGGTGTATGCGTTTCAAATACTATAAAATCGACACTGGTGAATTCGGATTGATGGTATGCGAACGATATTGGCATTAAAAAAGAAATATACGATAAAGTCCAAAACAACAAAGAATACTCTGTATGATTTATTTTGTTTTATTTTTATTAAATTTCCATGTACAGCTGTGCAACGTGTTTCGGTCGTCGTCTTATTGCACTGACCGACCAAACACGCACACGCTACAATGTTACACAATATTATTATTTTTGTTTATTATGTTATATGATATGTATAATATGATATTATAATATTATAATAAAATATTATATAATATGTGTACGCGGAACGACTCGTCTACGGYCGCCCGCTATTCTATGTTATCGACGGATCCACTGATCCACAGTCGATACTCGATAGTCGATACCTGACAGTGAAATGTGCAATTCGGTCTTTATGAATTTTATTATATTAGTACAATAATTACAATGTTGTCAGTAATTTTATATTGTGTATTTATTTTTTTTTCTGCCATCATTTCTCCTGACGCTCCCCACAACTTAATGAAATATATTTTTCGTGTATAATATTATAACTAATATGAATAATAATCCTTGTACTAATATTTAAATGAGAAATTATTGCACTAGTTAATCAAGAAAAAAATAAATAATATCAAACATTTTCTTATTAAGCCAACCACCAATGAATCAATGAATGTAAACATAAATTAAAAACTAATTAAATGAAACTACTTTTTTTTTCGAAAAACCTCAAATTGTGACATTTATATTAAGGGGGTCGGAACCGCTGCGTTTTTAGTACAAAAACACGTCTTACAGGAAAAACTCTCACGCCCTGTAGAATAGTTGGATTTTATTATTTTTTTTTTCATTTTAAATAAGAGAACATTTTGTAGGTCGGATCAAAGCTCGATTTTTGATATCATTATTATGTAAGCTATAATTTGCATTTAAATAATTCAAAATATTTGTTAATTTTCAAAATCGTTTTCAAGCATTATTAAAAGTAAAACGAAAAATTCGGCTTTGATCCGACCTGCAAAATGTTCTCTTATTTTAAATAAAAAAAAATTATCAAAATCCGACTATTCTACAGGGTGTGAGAGTTTTTCCTGTAAAAGTATTTAAATATTGCTTTAATAATTAATTATGATCGAAAACGACGAAAACAAACTCCGACTTGTGCATGCGCGTGCGTAAATATCTTTATCTGTGTGTGCGTTGTGACACCGCGCACAACCGGTATATAGCCTATAGAAGTAAATAATTATTATCCTATTTAATTATTTATAAATAACATGCTTTTGACGACGTGTACGGTAAATACCCGTTTATCCTTTATCAGTTACAAATAAAATATCCATCCAACTACTGTATACATTTATGTCAATAATAGGTACCTACACGAATAATAAAACATAAAATATAAACTATACGTCTATATACGTCTATACGTCATGATAATAATATATAGCCAGGTAATATAGGTAATGTACTAATGTATAACTAATTACCATAATAATGATAAAATAAAAATTGCTTAAAAAATTTTCATTTATTTAAAATTTTAGGGTTTAAAATTTCATTTAACAAATGACTGTTATAAGATTCGACCAATTGTTTTTCCATTTTATTCTTCCAGAAGTCGTCATCATGCTTTATTATTTCTACAAACATATCTGAAAATAAAAAACATACATATTGAATTAAAATATATCTGTAGCTTGTACGTACTATCTATAATATTATATATATACCTTGGTAGTTGGTATATCTTAGTCCGTGGTACTATCTGTAATACGTCTATACGAGTGATATAGCCATATAGGTGTCGTATATTGTTATTAGTTATTTCATTAGGTACCTTTTGGAGTCCAAACTATAAAATAACAGGATGATTTATTGGCTACTTTTAATTGACCCTGAACCTGGTAGTAATAATTATGATTTTTTTTCAACTGCAGATCACCATTATTACAAATATTTAAAAATTTAATTTTTTTAGCCACAACTCCTTGGTGAGGTGTAATATCTTTACTTTTATGTGGGCATTTTATTTCAACAATTTCATTTTCTCCCACCAATCCATCAGGAGAACCAGCTTAAAAATTGTATTGTTCATCTACAAATAAACCGGCTGGTAAAACTTTAACAGCGAATAAAGTTTCAAATGCTACCTTAGCTATTGGTTCATATTGTATTCCATATCTATTGATAAACAAAACAAAATAGTACAACAATTAATTATGTTATATACAATACTGCTAGCTTACGTCATTGCTGGAGTCTTCGACATAAAATCTTCTGCGTACAATATATATATTTTGGCAGTATTAGTACGAGGAGTATTTTTTCTGAGTTTACATACTCTACCGAAGTTAGAAGCAGTCATCCGATGTTTTCGTTCAGTATGCCAAGTATCACATTTACCCTGTGGATTACATTTACACAGTTATAATTTCAAGCTATCAACTATTATTTTTATTTAGTATAATTGATATTTCAAACCTGATCTATTTTGTTCCTTTCTAACTCACATATTTCTCGGGAACATAGTTTTAGACTATTTAAAACAGTTGAACATTTGGCCTCCAGTTCTTCTGATGAAATATCTAGTTCAGCACATCCTAATTCATCTAGGTCTCCATAATCCTTATCAGGTCCTTTAAAATTTTTACGAGTTCTAGATCAAAACAAAAATTGGTTTCAAAATGTGAAAAAAATAACTTGGACATAGCTTTTGTGGAATGCATACATTTTAGTTGATGGCTTAAAATTAAGCTTATTTTTTTTTTACCTAACTTCTTTTGCCCTTACTAACTTGGAAATAAAACGCTTTGTAAATTTTCCAGGGATTTCTTTTGTAGCTGTTTTAAAAAGTTTTCGTATATACTCAGGACCAAAGTTAAATGCCGACACTGCTGTCAAACATCTAGTATTGTACGACCCTAAAATATTGGTTGGTATATTGTGAACATATAAATTGTAAAAAAAATAAATATATAAATATAATAATAATAATATAAATGTAAATATTATATAAATAATAATATTATAATATAAATATATTATTACATTGTTATTATTTATTATTAAATAATTAAAAACATACAAGTATGCAATAAATCGAATTACCTCTAAGTGAATAATTGATCCTCTTTCCACCCAAAAATTTAGCTACAATACTATTGTACGACTCAACATAATTATTGGTCAAATCGTAAATAAGGCTATCTGAATTGAAGGATACTAAATTTTTAACTGCAGAAATATCTTGCTACAAACCACAGTTCTCTATCTCAGCACATAATTTATACCATTAGGATCAGCTTTAAAAAAATATCTAAAAAAATTATAATAATGATTATTAATGAAATATGTAAAAAAATAATCAATATTTTTTGTACGGATCGCAATAATTGTTGTGACACCCAAACACATGATATTATGGCCCGTTGTCGATGTCTTTTTTTAATAATTTCACCTTTTGATTGMGAGTTAAATTTCATTATTTTTCCAATGTTCAATTGCTTTTGTTATTCCATATCTAAAAAAAAAATACAAAGTTATTGAGGAATAATTAAATATATTAATATTATTATTTATAATAATAAATTTACTATGAGAAAAATATTTATTAATTTACTAAACATTTACCTAATTCGAAGCTTATTATCTTTTAAAAGTTTTCTCAAAAACCCTGGTACCACCTTACCACTGGAACTTTTTCGCTTGACTGCCATGTCGTTTATTTTGCTGATATAATTTCGCGAAATGTGGTTTTTACACTCTATCTTTTTTATCAAACAGTTAGGTCCATATGGTTGAGCAATACTTAATTTTTTGGTGCGACTGAACTATCGCCATCTCCTATAAGTTTATGGTAAATTAAATTATGCATATTAATGCTTTGTCTGAATCCTTCAAGTATTATGTCCAATTCCATAGCCGTTGATGTACCTTCCCAATTTTTGTAACATTTGTGTATTGGAGGTTCACTGGAAGTGGCCTCTGCTTTTACACAAATCGAACAATGCTTGTTTCTTATTCCCAAAAAAATAACTTTTTTGGTTTTTTCACCAACACTACAACTATATATAAAAGTATATTTTATTTAAATAATGTCTAATTGTAGGTAAATTAATGAGTTTAATAATTGTTACTTACAACTCCAGACAAAGCATTGTAATAAGATTTATAGTTTCTTTTTGACCACGCACCATCGGCAATGACAGTGATCATGGGAATACCGTATTCTCTTACATCACCATTCGCTATTGCGAGTTTAGCCTCTTCCTCTGCTGCTAATGACATTGCCTCCCAAGCTGTTTCACTAGTAAACTTGTGAACATCCTCATGTAGTTTCTGATACAACTTATTGCAAATATTTGGCATATTCATAATAGCAGAAAAAGTTTCCAGTTGAGCTAAACCTTGCCCCAAATTTACAATTGCCGTAACTGTCGCTGTGTTGACGTCCATTAACGATGAATTTGGATTTTCAGATTGAATGACTTCATTTCTTTGACACATATTACAAGTAAACAAGAATTCACTTAAAAATCCATTTTTTTGCTCTCCGAACAAAATCAAATTACTAAAATTACAATCATATGGTTGATGGTTGATTTCAGCAATTTTTTTAAATAAATAACCAATATCAACTATACGACGACCTTCAACATTAAATCTAAAAACAAAATAAAATTGAAATATCTAGTGAAAGCTTAATAAATATATATTTTTTTAATTACAACAAAACTTTAAAATCGTATGAAGAAAATCGGTATTTTACGCGTGAATTTCCAAAAATTTAAACTTTAGACACAAATAAAAACTATTTAAGATGATAGTACCTACACTCGATTTTTTTTCTAATTACCTTTAATAAAAACTCAAACAACATGGTTTATTTTGTGATTCATCATGTGAAATAAGATAACCATTTTTTAAAACACTAAACAAAAATAAAACAAATAATCAATATTTCACGTTTAAATTAATTTATTAATTTATTCGCAATAATATTAATTGTACAGCTAGTATCTGTTTTCTCTATAGGTAACTTAATAATGCACTTACCGCATTTTTTTGCGTTCTTTTACCTTTCGATACTTGGATACATTTTTTTTTTATTTGAATACTTTTTCTTGCCTTCCATGTCGTCAATTATTTGTGAAAAAAAAAAGATTGAAATCGTAATATAGTACGCACAATTTGATAATGATTGTGTTTCCTCATTGATAATAACAATAATAATTTATTGGTATTAGAATAATAATGCCATTATATTATAGAACTTCCACGAAACGATAAAAACCGGTCTAATATACATTTTATAAACATCTATATACAAATGCACGATCCTGTGCCGCCGATATCTCATGCTAAATATAGCTTACTCACACTAATAACAATTTATATACTCACACAAATGCACGGCTCGCGCTAAATCGATATGTTATAACATGCGAATTAAATTGCCTAAATTATACTCCTTAATTTATGGCCGGTATCGACGACCTTAATGTTTTTAATAAGATTTGATAATATCATTTTTCACTAAGTATCCGCATTTTTTGACTTAATTCAGGTAAATATATTTTAAAGGCTGTTATCATCATAACATAATACGTCACATAAACCATGATAGCATTCTGATTTTAACAAGTACCTATACGTTGACTGTGTCACCGAATTTAATAGCATTTCATAATAATTTTATATCGACTTCATGAATATTTTTTTTTGATAAAAACCTAATATTTTAGTGATAATTTAAAGGTTATAATATAATCTTAAATTATAAGTTAAAAATAATCTATAGAATTTGTTTATGTATGTTGAGATATAGATAATATAGGTATTACTTATTAATACAATATTGATTAGAATGATAATGTGTACCTATGAATAGGAATCGTTAATTTTTATTTTATTTTATACGTCAATTCATACATTATTTTCCGTCGTTTTCTACTTGCATTGCTTTAATTTATACTCGTCAAGTCAATAATCTCCTTAAATTTAAGGGAGCCTTGCCAGGTATATATACGCTTTAAGTATTATCCAACACCATTTATATTCATGATGTTAAGGTGACACATCACTGCGTCTAGGGCGTATTTAGCTTTATTATTGTTATWTCGATTTAATTTTAATGACTAAAATACTAGGGACACGTTTTTTTTCGTTTATACCTTTTTATAAATCACTTTTTTCAACTTGATAATTTTAAATTTACTAACATAACAATCCTATACATAGTAAAACATAAACACACATCCTTCAGTCTTACGAGCGGTTAAGTTTTACACAGTATTTAAACCGTAATTTTAAACATAATTTAGTAAGTTAATTTGTAACAATATTAAAATTATATCGTTTTATGATGCGTTAGTTGATAATCCATATGATAATTAAATCATTTAGACATTGTAGACAATATTTTAAATTATGCTTATGGAGAAGTTGTTTTTTTATACAGTTACATACAAATATATAATAGTTTAATTAGTTTCCTTGTTAAAATATTAGTGTGAAATAAATTAAAAATATTAAAAATGGTTTTAAAATGTTTAAAAACAGTTTATTGGATACCAAAAACGTCTTAAACAATATGGAAAATTCTTGAGTTTAATTAAATGTTGCTTTAAATAAATAAAATCAAGTCAAAAATTAAAACTAATGGAAATAAAGAGAAATCACACTGAACAAACACATGTTTCCAAACACGTGTTGCGTAAAAGTTTTTGTTTTTATCAGTTCTCCGTAATTATGTATGAAGATATACAAGTTTTCAATAAGTAAGTTAAGCACTTTTTTAAAACGTGCAATGGTACGATTTTACGTTTAAATTAGAATGAAAAACTAATATTAAAACTAAATAAACACATATTTTACTATTATAATATGCTTGCGTATAATATATAATAAGGTTGATACTTATATAATATTTTGCATAAAATATTATAATCAATTAATATTTCAAGTTTTATTTTTTTGTTTGTTATTTTATTCAAAATATTT